TCCAGAGGCGGAAGGAGCAGTTGCGCGGCCTCCAGCTCAGCGTGTCTTCGTCCTGCGGGACACGGGTCGAGTGAGGCTGCGCCCCAGGGGCGCTGCGACGCCTGGTGTTCGCGGACGTGGGACGCGATGTGCACGGACCCAGCGAGCCCTGGAGGGCGGTAATGGGGCTGCGCCGCGCCCCAGGCTCGCCTTGCGCATCCCTGCGCCCCGACGGCGAGCCGGGTCCTTGCAGGGAGCCCTTTGGGGACTTGGGGCAGAGGCTGCATGTGTGCTGATGGCGGGCGTGGCGGGAAGCTCTCCTGGTCAGACTTCTGGAGGCTGAGACGCGAGACGCGCTGTTGGGCGCTAGGAGCCAGGGTCCCTCGGGACAGGGAAGGAAGTTCTGCCACCCAGCGGATCCGGGTTCCCGGGGAACGGAGAGGGGCTGGCGCCTCACTCACGTAGCGGTCCCTCAGCGCCTTGACCGCCTCCAGCACCCTGGGGTCCAGCGAGCGATAGTGTGACAGGAGGCAGCGTCGGGGCGCCTGCACCACCGGGTCCGCCGCCACGCCCACCGTCACCAAGACCCACAGCCCGGTGGCCACCGCTGCTCGGCCGCTCGGCCCCATCTCTGCTCCTGCAGGAGGCAGGGGCGTCAGGGAGACCGAGGAGAAGTCCAGTCCGCTCCCTGTGGTTAGACTGCCAGCGGGAGCGCTGGGGCCAAGGCGACAAACGGGTGGCTCACCTGCGGGTCACCCTCGCTGCCTCGTGCTGCAGCCGAGCCTGGCCGCCACTGGGCACCGGGTAGTCTCCTGAGCGGTGTCCACCTTCTGCAGCGGTGCGTGGACCCTCCATAGCGGATTTTATATGTCTGAGAAGGAGGCTCTGGGCTTCCCCGACCAGGTAATCTTTCCGAACGTCAGCGCTGGCCAGCGGCCACGTGGGATCCCTGCCGGGGAGAGGACTTTACCCGCCTCTGGGCCTGTGCCTGGGGTGGCTCTGCCCCAGGCTTCTGCTACCAGATCTGGTCTCTGTTCCCGTCCCTCCTCTCTTTCTCTCTGTCCCCTCAGTATCTGATTCGGTCTCTTGTCTCTGTCTGTCTTCATTCAAGCCCTTCTCTCTTCTTTATGTTTCTCTCTTTCTGGTTCTTTCTTTTTGTCTCTTTCGGTTTGTTCAGAAGAAGTGGAGGAATGGTGTGATATCATTGCTGATGTCAGATGGATCTTGGCTGAAAACAGGATACCAGAAAGATGTTTACTTGTGTTTTATTGACTGTTTAACAGCATTCTACTCTTTGCTTCATAAGCAATTATAGACAACATTTCAAATAACGAGAATCCCAGAACACTTAATTATGCTTTGTTGAACCTGTACAGACACCAAGAGGCAGTCTTTCTAACAGAACAGAACAAGGGGATACTGCGTGATTTAAAATCAGGAAAGGTGTGCATCAGGGTTGTATCCTTTCACCACACGTATTCAATCTGTGTGCTGAGCAAATAGTCCAAAAAGCTGGAGTATATGAAGAAGAAACGAAGCATCAGAGTGGAGGAACGCTGACTAACAGCCTGTGATATGCAGATGATACAGCCTTGCTTGCTGAAAGTGAGGATGACTTGAAGGACTTACTGATGAAGTTCACAGACTACAGTCTTCAGTATGGTTTACATCTCAACATAAAGAAAACAAAACTCCCCACAACTAGACCAATAGGCAACATGATAAATTTTGAAGATGTCAAAGATTTTATTTTACTTTGATCCACAATCTATGCCCATGGAAGTAGCAGTCAATAAGTAACATGACTTATTGCATTGGGAAACGCTGCCACGAAAGACCTCTGTAAAGTATTAAAAAGCCAGGATGTCACCTTGAGGCCTAAGATGTGCCTGACCCAAGCCATGGTATTTCCTGTTGCCTCATGCATGTGAAAACTGGACAATGAATAAGGAAGATTGAAGAAGGATTGATACATTTGAGTTAAAGTATTGGCAGAGAATATTGACTATACGTGGATTGCCAGAAGGAACACTCTGTCTTGGAAGAAGTACTGCTGAAATGCTCCTTAGAAATGAGAATGACAAGGCTTTGTCTTAAGTACTTTGGCCATATTAGAAGGGACAAGTCCCCGGAGAAGAACCTCGTGCTTAGAAAGGTAGAGGCTCAGTGAAAGAGGGGAAGACCCTCAGTGAAGGGGACAGTGCGACAGTGAGCTCAGGCACGGCGGTGACTGAGGATGGTGTAGGACCCAGCAGTGGTTCCTCGTTCTGTTGTACATAAGGTCGCCATGAGCTGGAGTAGACTGGTCAGCACCTCACAACAACAGCATGTGTTTCCTGTGTCTGCCTTTCTCTCCTCAGTTCTTTTCTAGCAAATACCAGACCAGGGCCTCTAGCTCTCTATCCATCTGTCTGTCTGTCTATCTCTGTTTCTCTCTGCGTGTCTATTTCTCACGGTCTCTGTCTTTCTCTTTTTAAATTGTGCTTTTGGTGAAAGTTTACAGAGCCAATTAGTTTGCCTGTCAACAGTTTACACACATTCCTTGCAGTTCCTTCAGGTAACAGCGCTCTTCCCACGTCCTCTCTGGGTTCCCCACATGCATTAGTCCTTCTTCTCTGCTCCTTCCTCCCTCTGAGCTTTGTTTTGGGGCAAATGCTGCCCTTTTGGGCTCATGTGGTTAACTGTTCTGAGGAGCAGTTCCTCACAAGTGTTCCTATTCACTCTAAAGGCCTGTCTGTTGTTTGGTTGCAAAGTGATCTCACTGAGGGTGCGTTCGTTCCAGGTTTAAAGTGTGTAAGGACCACAATCTCAGGTCTCTCTCTCTCTTTTTGTTTTTTAAAAAAGACCCACTACTTTTTTTTCTGATCATATAAGCAGTGCATCTTCATTGGCGAAAGCTTGAGGAATACAGAGAAGCATAAAGAGGGAAGGAAAGCCCCTATAACTTCACCTTTCACCTCTCCCTCCTCACCTCCTCCCTGGGACCATTTTCCCAACGTATCAAAGTTATACACGTACTAACCTGCGTGTAGGGAACTCTGGTGGTGCAGTGCCGAAGGCATTTGACTGCCAACCGGAAAATTGGTGGTTCAAACCTTCCAGCTGCACCATGGAAGGAAGATGGGGCAATCTACTTCTGTAAAGATTTACCTCCTTGGAAACCCAGTGAGAGTCACTGTGAGTTGGAATCGACTCAATGGCAGTGGGTTGGGTTGGGTTTTTGGTAATGGACGTGTTTTCTAATTGCCAAAGAAACCATTATTCCATGTAAAGAGTCAGTCAATCCAAAAACATACAACTTAAGAGTTAAACTTAGCCTTAAATACCACATCCTGGAAGTAACCCTTTTAATAGTCAGTAGCTATCTTGTTTTTGTTTTTTCTTTTTTCTAAGCAATTTCACCCAAATTAGAGCCAGGCTGGATACTGTTTGGCAGCCTGTGCGGCATGTTTTATCTTCCTCTCTCATTTGCATCTCCCCACATCTTTAATTATACGGTATAGTTCGGGCCCCAGCAGGAAACAGATGGCCCAATCAATTTAAGATAATTTGAGGTGGGCTTAATACCAGGACTATTTACAAAGAGATTAGAGAGAGTGAGGCCCTGGGGCCAGCAGCAGGGGGTCGGGAGTGGAGTGGTTACCACACCTGGGAGGAGAGACTCAGGTAGAGTCAGGTAGACAGGCTGGGGAATCAGCCCAGTTGTGCGGACCCTGAAGGGCAGCCCAGTTGCCTTTGAGTCGACTGATGGATGGTGACCCTGTGGGTGTCAGAGAAGAACTGTGTTCTGTAGGTCATCAGTGACTGAATTTTCAGAAGCAGGTCATCAGGCTTTGCTTGTGAGGCATCTCTGAGTGGACACCAACCTCCACCCACCCAGGGACTCCACAGGTAGAAAGCCTGAGAATAAATACCTTGATTTCACATTCCCTCTCCTGGACTCTACTCCCCATTGGCTGCACCCAACCAGAGGCCCAGAGCTGGCTTCCCCGGGACCCAAAGCAGGTTGGAGAAGCCAGGAGAATGGATCCGGAGTGGAAAACAGAAGACGCCCCCCCCCCACAGCACTGAAGACTAGCGTGCATTCTAACAGGCTTGTTTAATAACCAGCCCCCTATTGAAAGGAACTCTGAGGGCGCAGTGCTTAAGGCATTTGACTGCTTACCTGAACCTGCCCTGGAAGGAAGATGAGACAATCTACTTCTGTAAAGATTTACCACCTTGGAAACGCAATGGGAATTGACTCAATGGCAGTGAATTATTTATTTATTTATTTATCTATCTATTTATTTATTATTGATGGGCAGTGGTGTTATTTCCAGGGTTCTGGTAAAGCAGTCATTCCTTGTAGAGGTCAGGGAGCAGTTGTGACTCTCAGAGGATGTCAACAATGTCTGGGGACATCTTTGCTTGTGACGTGTAGGGTGAGGGGGAGAGTGCTACTGACATCCAGTGAGTAGAAACCAGGGTGCTGCTGATACCCTACAGTGCACAGGACAGTGGCCCATAACAAAGAATTATCCAACCCAAAATGTCAATCATACCAGGGCTGAGAAATCTTGGTTAAAGTCACTCAACCAAGGATATCTTTGTGCACATTTTTCTGTCTGCATTGCCAATGATTTCCCTGGGGTTCCAAGAAATAAAATTGCCAGTGAAAGCCAAGGATTCCTTCATTATTATTATTATTTAATGTAGGGGTTCTTTCTTTTTTAAGTTTTTATTGTGATTTGGATGAACATTTACAAAGCGAATTCATTTTCCATACAGCAGTTCATACACATTTTGTTTCATGACATTAACTACAATTCCCCACAATGTAAACAGCTCTCTTCCCACTTCCTCCCTGTAGTTACCTCTTCTTCCCTGTCTCCTTCTTTTCTATGCATTCCTGCCCCATGAGCTATCTCCCTGTGCAACACTGTTCTCCAATGATTGCTCCAAGGAGTGTATCTACCTGATGTAAATGTTCACCCCATATGCCTGTCAGTTGGCTGGAAGCCACAGGAGTGAGTTCAGTTCCAGACCTGAGGGGTAACTAGGGGCCATAGTCTCAGGGGTCTCACCAGGCTCTATTAGACCAGCAAACCTGGTCTTCTTTGCAGGTCTTCTTTCTTTGAAGTCAACAGAAGAGGATGAAGGCTAAGTGTGCCCCTAGCCATGTGCAGCCAGAGAGCAGGAACGTGCTGAGGCTCTTACTGGTTAAGAGTTTAGACCAGCATCCCTTCACCGGGTGTGAAACCACATGGCCACGTCCTGTGTGGATCACCACCTGCCCTCCCAAACAGTTGTACCAATCCCCTTTCCATTCCCATCTACTCAAAAAGGAATGCCAGTCTCTCTTACAGAATCTAGTATTATCATTTAAGAGATTAAAAAAAAAAAATCCATGCAAAAAGCACAAATGTCCTCAAATGTCTCTTAAGAGAGGAATGGCTAAACAGAGATTGTTACATTTGCACCACACAGAAAACCAACCCCAAAGCAAACAGTTGCGGTGCAGTCAGTTCTGACTCAGGGTGAGCCCACATGTTTCAGAGTAGGACTGTGCTCCATTGGGGTTTTCAGTGGCCATGACCTTCCAGAAAAGATCACCAGGCCCTTCTTTGGAGGCACCTTTGGATGGATT